CAGAGGGCAGTATTGTACCCAGGGGCGGATCTACGGGGGGGGGGGGGGCAAGGGGGGAAGCTGCCCCCCCCCCACTGTAGAGCCTTGCCCCCCCAACTGCCCCCCTAACTTTTGTTTCCCTAAAACTGTACTAAAACAAACCTACACTATTTCCACAAGCTTCTCAAGCAACGAAACAAGCATTACATTAGTTAAAAGTGAATCATTTTAAATATCATTTTAGGCCCGTTAAAAACGCAGCTACGGCCCTGCATTAAACTGCGGAGCGGCGTTCACACAGACCGCGGCTCACAGAGCTGCAGAGAGGGAGCGAGCTGTCCCAGCGCCGATGGGTCAGCTTCCCCTGGGAGCATTTCCCTTTCCACTAGTTTTGTTTTTACTAAGGACGAGAGCTTGAAACTAAATATTAATAAAACGCTGCCGTTTGAATCGATAGCGTTTAACAGATGGGCGCTGTTTGGGGCGTTACGTTACAAAATACTACGCAGACAGCAGTGGCGGCTGGTGGAAAATATTTTTGGTGGGGCTGTTGATATAGTGAGTAAAACATTTTTTTTTGGGAGAAATTACCCCTTAAATTAGGACTTCTGGTGATGTAATGGCGCGTTTCCAGTGCAGAGCGGAGCTCGCTTTAATGCTGCGTTCACACCGGACGCGATTCGAATATTCGCTTCGCTCTAAACGCTCCTATCGCATCGCTCTAGTCGCTCGAGTTTCACCGCGGCTGCCAGCTGTGTTTACTCGCATCTTTCAAACAAGACGCGCTGGCTCGGGAGCTACAACTACAACAAAATTAACATATTTTACCGTGATTAAATTGTAATACACGTTTCTAAATGATGCCGACGTAACAACATACTGATACCGGTTAGTAAAAACCATGAATTAATGCTTTGACAAGTCTGCAGACAGACGGCAGGCGAAAACCTTTTAGAATGCTTGTTTTCTGAATGGAGCTTGGCTAAGCTAACGTTATATATGTTCCGACCGTCCACACTCACAACAACGGCCTATACATACATAAATAAACCAGCGACTGTATTCTCCATGACCCAGACAGTCTGTGGTTTGTACTTGTTTAACTTTTGTCTAGTTTCTGAACAGATCGTATCTGTCCCCGCCCGGCTGTTTGAAGAGCAAGCATGGGAAACAAAAGATAGTATTTACCTGTTTGCATCCAGCTAGCCTCGTTGATACGTTTTGTCTTGTTCACGAGCTTGCTGTGATATACAAATCGGGTTGGTCCGGTCCAAGGTCTTTAAGTATCAATTTATCTCCCAAATTTCTCCTTTCGAAAGGATTGGAGAGTAGCTCTTGCACGGAATTGGGTGCGGACCGAGGTCCGGCGACTCCACCTGCACACCATTCTAAATACTGCGTCACCTTGGTCACTCACGACTCACGAGTCTAAAAAAGCAACTCACGTCACGTAAGCAACGTGGGCGCCAACGTGAGCGCCCTCGTGACCAAAATATTTGACGGCGCTGATTGGCTGAAATTATGTTTCGGCGGCACAGTTTACTATTGAGACTTTTGCAACGTGCTGGTTGTTGCTATTTGGCTCGGGGGCTCCGCCCGGTAATGATAAACTAATGCCATGGGCAAGGCCAGGCAGGAAACATGTGACTTATCAGTAACTTTAGACATCGTAACACAATTTTAAACAAGATTTTATTGTAGATTATACATTTTACTGATACCAATTGTATGATATTTACCTTGTTCATTACAAATAAAAATATAAAATATATATATTTTTTAAATATATATATTTTTAATATATATTTTTTTAATTTAATATTTTTTTTTATATATATTTTTTTGAATGTGGGAAGAGGTGGGGCGGCGCCCCTAGCGCCCCTATGGGCCGGCCGCCACTGGCAGACAGCGTTAGCTGGGAGATCGATCACTTTGCTAAACTATGCGGTAGCCTACTATTAAATCCACGTAAACTACACATCACAGCAATGAGGCCAGATCAATGAAACCAGGATACATCCTTTCCGTAAAAACTGGATTCAAACACAGCTGCCTGTGTGCGTTTGATGAATACTTTCTGATGATATGCTACTTATTAGCTAGGCTACATGGCCCTAACGTGTAAAGTTATACAAGCATTTGTACCAGTGCTTTTCACAAGTAGACTCTTGCAGGCCAGAGTATAGGAGTGATTCAACAATAACAAAAAGACATATCTGAGAAGAGATCAGGACGAACAGAAAGAGGAAAAGGAAAAGAGAGTTCACTGAAGAGACCAGGAGGGTCAGAGCAGGAGGAAGAGGAGGAGATGAAGACATTAGTGAAGAAGAATAAATATATGTGAGGAATAAAGATGAAGTATCAGAAAGAGGGCCAGAGGCAGGGATCAGGAGGCAGATGAAACTCCATCTGGACCACATGGTATGTTCTTATTCTCCTTACATATTCCATTACAGCAGCACAATCTAGCAGCTCTTAGTATTGACAATTATTGATTGAAATGTGTTGCTGCACAGGTCACCTTTAGCTCTCTGAAGAGATGGGTCATGTCATTTGTGTACTTAATTATAACTAAGTACTTACAGTATGCAGAATTAGAGTATTCTCTGAATCGGGTGCCTTTTGGATCTTTATATCTTTGAAAAATGAAACCAAAATGTTTGGTCATAACATCTGGTAGTGGACTACTTACATTTTCCCACCTCAGGCACAAAATATAAATAATTACTAGGAATTTACTTGAAAAAATGTAACAGGGTAGAAGTTTTTGACAAAAAGTAGCCATGATACCTTGTTTAGATAAGATATGGCACCACATGGAAATCAAGGACATTACAAAATTGTAATATTTTGCAAAACTATTGTTTATTTTGTAATAAACAATTATTTACTATTATTAATTCATATAACAGAGTTGAAATGTTGAGCATGTCAATCTTAATCTGAAAATACAAAAACTGAAATATAGGTAAGAGAAGAAACTGACACTTTTGTGATGTAATTCCCTGAATGCAGATCACACATCGACTGATCCATTATTTTAATAGGAGGGTAAATGGTATGGCGTGACAGGGTTGAAACAAACTGAGGGACGTGTGTCAATATTGCAATTTCATAGATAATTCAAGTATTTTTTCAGAATTTATTTTTGATCAGTTAAAGTTGACAAGCATATGATTATATTGGCAGCAACATTTTGGAATAATTGGCCATTTTGATTTGTTTAATATTAAATTAATATGTAATAATGCTTAGTGAGCACATGCAAATATGTCTGTCTAATACTAAGACAACACATTTTTTGTAATGCAAAACAACCTGTTCCATTAATTAATTGCTTTAAAATACATTTTGTAGTTTCCTTTCATTTAAAATGGTTGAGGTAAGCTTGGGGGACTCAAAGGGCACCCGATTGTTTGTCTGAACACCTTGTTTCCCTTGTGCATTAAGAACACTTGTGTTAGGGCATGAATTAACAATAAATAGGTTACATACAGTGTAAAATACCACGTACTGTCCGCCCTCCCATGCCACCCTGGCATGACCTCTTGCCCCCCCTTTGCCACCCCATGTAAAATGTTCTAGAACCGCCACTGATTGTACCTTGTATTCCACTACACCTGATGCACAGTGATTTTTGAATTAAGATCAACATGTAAAACATATGAATGTATATGATAAAAACAATTATTGTTATAGATTAAACTACCAAGATATATGGAAATACATTTAATAATTTACATGACCCACAACACTTCACCATTAAAGTGTGCACACAAAATAAAAATAATAATAATCATAGCCATTAAATAATTATAGAAAAATAACGGCTTATACTTTTGCCAATATTTCTTCCCTTTATAAAATGTACTGTCTATGCAGCTGTGACATGGTTTTATGTATGGGTGTATGACCATATAACTGACTCACCCTGTGGGAGTTGCTCTAGCTGATTCCTCTCAACAGATAGCAGCTGCAGGGCGGGGGCCCAGGACACACATCCCCGTCCTCTCCAAGGTCTCAAGCGTTGAAGATGTCTTCCTCTGACATAACGGCTTCCACTCTCTACGCACAGAGACAAGTGTGCAATACTGTTGTTTCCCAGCCATACATTCCTGAGGTTATAATGTGGTCGGTCGAGTGTGACAGCGCCGAGGAGGTTATGAGATAAGTCAAGCTCAGTGACAGAGTTTTGGATATGTCGTGGCATCAAGGAAAGGCCAGCGGAGGAGCAGTTCAGCAGGGGAGCTCTCTGACAGGTGCAGGACTCAGGACAGGCAGGGAGGTGAGAGGAGACGAGGAGCAGCGAGGAGACGAGGAGCAGCAGGAGGGCCAGGGACGGCCCCTGTGCCACTGCCATCAAAACCTGACCCGAGAAGATACAAAGATCATGAGTGACAGAAAATATATGCAATCAAAAAGAAAAAAACAACACACATTTAACCATAAGAATATGAAAAACAGACTGTCTTTAAATTATCATTAACTAAAGGCCATTGCTTATAAGACCAACACATTAAAACTAACTGTCATAAATGGAACACATTAACTTGATTTAGAAGAAGTTCATGATATAGAATAATATAGAGATAAAGTACAGTAACATAAATAGTCTTAAAACATCTAACTCACCTGTGTATTTACTCTTTGTCAGGCTGGCAGGAAAACTTGTGACTGTGTTTTCACACCCAGAGCTTCAGGTGTTTAACTTTGACCGTCTCTGGCAGTTCTGATCAAAGTCTGAAGAATATTTTTGCTGCGTCGAGCTTAACAACACCCTCGAGATGCCATTCTGTGATTCATGCAATCATTCACATGTCTAGTTAATATCTTACTATGATTGTTTTCCTCCTCATGTATAGTAGATAACTCTGATCCTGAGGGCTTTATGGCGAGTAGAACCCTGCCCATGCTGTTCATTTATTACATAATAAAACAGCATAATGAGGCACAGTATTCTTTTGTGGCTTTAAATGACCATATAAACACTTGAGGAATTTCCGGAAGCCAATGATAAGAAGTTTCACATAGCAACACGTTTCTTTATTGAAACAAACATAGCAATGAAATGTTCAACATTTTATTTCAAAAATAAGGCTGATTGTTTTTTTGTTGTTATTTTCATTAGTTGATCAAAAACATGTTTTCTCACAACAGGCTCTGAGAACATTTCTCAACTTCAGCACTTTTCTTTTTAAAAGACGATCCAAAGCAAAAGTCAAATATTTTATACTATATTGCACAAAATTCAAACCACTCAATAAAGACGTTAAAGCAAAAATGATTTAGACTTTCCTGTCATTCAATATTTCAATATATTTTTGTCACACAATCTACCTCTGTTTTTTAATATTGTGTTATTTTGCTTTAAAAAAAATAGAATATTAGATACATATTATATTATATATCATCCCTTTTAAATCCATTGGCACGTGCATTATCGACAGTCCCAGAAAGAGACCTTCTCTGCTGCTTTAACATTACTGGATGGCTTAAAAAATGTTTATGTTTTAGAGTTTATGCCAAATGTAATTATACATATTGTCATATAGTGTCTCACGCTTCTCAGTAAATATAATTTAACAAAATCTCAAACAAAGCTGCCAGAAACAATGAACAAATGAGCAAATACAATACCTCTACACGGTTTGTAAATTGGTAATACTGGACGGTAAGGCAAAAAGAAAATACTGCCGTTTCTCATTTCTATCAATGGCCATTGTAAACCACAATGTAATGAGTTATACTGATATGGCATAAAATAGGATACAGTTGGCACATCTGAAAACCATTAAAAACACATATGTTCATATCTTTGGCCAAGTTGCAATGATCTGTAACACAATTCCTGTTTGGCAACTAAAATAAGGAATACAGAATTTGACGGGTACACTGCAGAGTCCTATAGAATTTTCTATACACACAAATGTGTAATTTGACTTTAGTGGTGACAAAATGTAGACACTTGAAAGTAGACTTTAGCCAACTCTCCTACTGAGTTTTTCCACACGGGTTATCTGAAGTCTGGCAGCCCATGTTGGGATATTTCACCTGCACACGGAACAGAGTCCCATCTGCACACATGCAGAGCTTATACCGTTCCATGCCTTCATCAAAATACACATCTCCTGCAGAGTTAGGGATGCGTGAAACATTGAACATGACTGATCCATTCAGAATGATGCTGTTCTCCTGCAAAGAGAAAATAACACCATCTTTAAACCATATACATGCAAGAGTTTGCAAAACCTTTATTATAAAACCTGCCCTCCGTAACCCATGTTACAACACTCCATACTTACAGCCCTGAGCTCGATGCCTCCGCCCACTTTGAACTCTACAGTCCGGCCCATGATGTTGACGCCCTCGTTTCCACGAATGATGGCCTTGCCGTCCCCTTTAATGTTCAGGTCAGAAGATGCACTACTGGTGATCTAAAATAAGAGACAAAATGAACACAACAGTCAAAAACAAAGGCAGTAATACAAGTTTAATTGAACTATTATTGGTTGTTGTTTACTGATAGTATTTCACAACCTGTGCACAAACCAATAAAAACAAAAACTATTGTTAGGCTAATATTACTTTTTTGTTATAGTTATTATAAGCATTATACACACCCTTTCGGTGGAAGCCTTTTTAACACTGAGAATTTTGACTCCTTTGGGCAAGTGGAACTCATGGTTTTCAAAGTCTGTGCTGAAGTACGTGTTCTGTGTCCGAGGGTCTGTGAAGGTTATGCCAACGTCACTAACGATTGAGGTCTTTTCTTTCTCCACACTCAGCTTAGTGGTGCCTTGCTGGAACACAACCTGAAACGACATGCATCAAATTAACGAGAAGCATTATAAAAATATGTACACAATATTTAAGCTTCTATCTTTTCAAATTGCTCAGTGTACTGTTTACTGTGAGTCTCCTCTGTGTTTCTTACCGGATTGTTGTTTCCAACGAGGACGAGGTCCTGGTCCTTGCGGCCTCCTACTGTGCTCTTGTGCAGTGGGTGAACGATGCCCATGTCCGCCTTCTGTTTGAAGCGCAGTAGTCCACTCTCATGGAACTCCATACTGTCACAACCATTCGGACCAATACGGATCACTGTCCATATTACCAGAGTGATCTGAGGGAAATAATGCAACAACACATAAGGATATATGAAGCTCTGCCAACTTTGTATCATATTTTTCAGTAGTGTATTCAAGACAATGCATTAGATTGACATTTGTATTGCTTACAATAAGGTTAATTAAGGCGAGGATGAAGAGGAGGATAACGATGCAAACAGCCATGTTTCCCTTTCGTCCTCTCAGTCCAGTTTTATGAAGACGTTCCTCTTCTATGGGTACATATCCTGCTTTGAAGTTACTGTTGTGTTCCTTGTTGATATTCCGTCTTTCTATAGCCTTCTCCCGCATGGACTTCTTCACAGGCCCATTTGAACTCTCCTGGAAAGGCAAAACAATAAACAAAACAACACTCAAATGTATAACAAGGACAGGCTGCTTCACCTACGCTGTGAACGAGACAACTGCAGGTTCTTCCTGCTGCTGCAGACTCAACAGGTCTGTCTACTGATTTTATTTAGCTGTTTAAAGTTTATATAGTTATCATATCAAGCTATTTTTTGACTGATGGTCCTTGTTATTGCACTTTACTGCTGTCCCATGGCAAATGTCCACACTGTAGGGCTAATACAACATGATCTTATCGAACTTATAACACCCTTCACATAGATAGACTGGAATTGACCCTTTAAAATCTAAATAGGCTACCCTCCAAGGCAAGACAATTACATTTCACACGTAGCATGTTATATTGTTCCCATGCGTTTCTCCCTGATTGGAACAGTTTACTCTACATTTCTTCTACCTACCTCTACAATCTTTAGGTTTGAGATGTTATCTCTATCAATTAATACGATTTACCAGCCAAATTATGGTAAAATATTGGATGGTAGATACAAAATACCAATAAAAATCTATCTAGCTATTTTGCAGGTGGACACAATGAATTCATTTTGATCCCTGTTTCCTATTTATCTCCGGTTTCTAGGCTCAGTGCTGGAATGCCTCTCAGTTAAATACCCCACGACTGCCTGTCTGTGCCAGAACTAAAAATAAACTGCACTCATTTTAGCAGCAATAAATAGAGGCAAGCCCGTGTGTCCTTATTAAGCAGCTTCTATGGCCTTTATTTTAGCAAAAACATCGATGCTGTTTACCAGCACATTGGTCACAATAGCGGCATTGTTATTCCCATGTAACGCTAGCTATAATAACGACACGGTGGCGAGTATTTATAACACGTAGGGTCGACAACAAAGCGGAATGCATTTATATTTATTACTCCGGGTCAATCGGGAACATACCATTGCCCTATTGTCAAACAACAAGCAATACACGTACTAAAATGCAAGAAAAACAACAAATATTGAAGAAAACGGACCTGTTCAGACGCCATGTTGACCCTCCCTCTCCTGCTTGCAGAGTGAATGGGACCGTACCACTTTTCACGAAAATAAAGAACGGGTATGTTGTGATATTATAACAGGTCGAAATAAGTTAGGAATAAAAAGGTTTTAATAAAACGAACATAAACAACCCTTTGCAATTTGTATTTGCATTAAGCGAGCTAAAAAGGGACGTTTATATACAAGTAAAATATGGTGCATTCCAAGTTCAACCATCCAATGAGAGAAGGGTCCCAAAATAGAAAAACATGTTCATTCATATTTTCCATAGGTAAAATGTCAAGCGGGCCATAACACTGTCTCATCCAAGCTCCAACAATGCATTCTAAGCAACATTTGGTACAAAGTAGTACATTTATCAAACAGTTATATTTCAGCTTAGGCTACATATTATTTGTTATTGAATCCTGCCTATATTTAAATAGAAACAGATTTATATAGGAAATGGATACGGTTGATCTAATTTACTAATTGGCTAGCACATATAGGCCTACCTTAACATCTGCATATGCATTCGTCTGCTTGTTCAGGCTGAAATTACTCATCGTAATTATTTTAATTAAGGCTGCTTATATTTAGGCTTTTTAAAAAAAGATACTGGTCTGGCAACAGGACCAGAGAGCTCTCATTATAATAACTAAATAAATTACATAAATAAATAAGGTAAAAAATAAAGAACTGTAGAACTAAAGTCCTAAAGTAAATCTGGAGGTTTATTTAAAATAAATATGCACATAAATAGAAACAAGTGTATTTAAGTTAATACATTTAATTAATAAATCGTTTTTACGTTCTCATCATAGATTATTTTTTTGTTAACATTTCTTTGTTTTGAGCAAAATTATTTTCTTATTAGATTTTTTGAAATGTAAAATAAATACATTGTTTTCAAAGAACGTGTTCAAATGACTTGGATAAGTTATGCTTATATTTTTTACATCTAAAATTACATATGTAATCCATTATCATGACAGCCCAACTGTTAAATCATGTATTACTCTCATGTATATCCTACAGTATTATAATCGGATTAACTTCAACACACACACACAAACACACACACACACACACACACACACACACACACACACACACACACACACACACACACACACACACACACACACACACACACACACACACACACACACACACACACACACACACACACACACACACACACACACACACACACACACACACACACACACACACACAACACACACACTGGCGGAAACATCAGCATTCTGTGTTACCGAGCTACAGTTCACCATGTAGCCGGCCTTTGGTGTCGTTTGACAGTATGACATTACAATCGTATTTACACCCCGGCAGAACAGAGCCTACAGAGGAGAGACAGAGACAGCAGTGCTCCTAGTTTCCGTCAGGATTTCAGGAATGATTTGTATTTAAAGTGGTTTGTTTTCAGGTTGTCGCCTACAGTCTCGTCTCCTGGTTGCCACAACTGAGGCGGTGCTTGGCAGCACAGTCGTAGGTGGAGAAAAGCTGCCAGGACAGGAATTTTAACTGCATCGTGTCCTCCTGCAGGAGCATTTTAAAGCTCCCAGTAGGCTCATTAGGACGGACATGGCCGATACTTTGAGGAGACTGACCCACACATCCCCTTTCAGCGTCCTGCAAGATAAACTTGAGAGCTGGCACAGAGACTACCATGTAAGTTTATCAATAATTAAAGCCCACCGACCTAAATCTGACCAAAGGAGTTCATCTGTTGCACCGTGTTTATGTAATGCATTAGAGGCTATAAGTCACATTTGTGCACATTTATAATGTATGGGTTAGTCAAAGCGTTGCAGAAACATTATTTCCTGGTATAGATGATTATAAATTGCTGTGCTTACTGCTAACTGGTGATTTGTCCACTATCTCGATTTGTATATACTTTTTATTCGGCTATTTTTATTACGGGCAATGCCATGGAATGCAGTGGTTTAGATGATGCATGCATTTATTTAAAAATACCACAACAAAGGAATGCAAAGCTTGTTTTAGATGACATTGATTTCCCGGTTGAGTTTGGTTGCTATGGACGCCGGTTGCCCTGGCTACAGGTGGACTTTTCCGAAGAAGTTTTTCTGCTACGATGGTTCACTTCCTGTTACTTCCGGTAGAAATCCGCTGGGTGGCTTAACCCTCCTGTTATCCTCAGATTTACTTTACACCCTTTATCCTCTGGGGTCAATTTGATCCCAGTAGTTTAAAACTCAAGACAATGATCATATTCCAAATATTAACCAACATGTATGTCTTTGGTGCTTTAGGTATCTTAGTTGACTACCTAAATAACCATCTAAATAAAACATTACCCCAACTTTCCCCCCTACATACATCCAGAATTCCTATTATGTGACTATCGACAAATATATAAATCACCATAAAATCTCACTGACTGATATAAAATGTTAAAGTAAGATCTTTTTGATGTTGTTAAAGAACCAATAACTAAAGCAGAGGGTAGTTTTTTTACAATGACACATTTGCATGTCACCTCAATATCATCTTACACAATCAACACAAATATGTGTAAAATATTGACATTTGTATATGTTTTCTATTACTAAAACAGCCTGGGGTCAAATGTACCCCAAGGAACACCGATGCGTACAAAGTGCGTACAGGACATTTTATGTTTACCCATTAGTCCTCACTAAATTAGGAAAAGTCATGAAATACTAAGCAAAGAAAATAATGTTAACCATTTTTTTCTGGTAACATTGAATTGGGTCAAATTGACCCCAAGGATAACAGGAGGGTTAAGGTGGCAGAGGTACCGGAAGTGGCTTTTAATTATTTTTATTTAGGGTTTTTTATTTAACTAATGCCACACAATTTGACTACAGGAAATAATGTGAAAAATCCATACAGTTAAACATCCAAGGGGGTAAGCACAAAATGGTATGGAAAACAAACAAAAGAAAAACTAATTAAAATAAAAGATTAGTAAACAAATTATATTTGCTAAATATATGAATGTGTAATATAAGGAGTTTTTATTTATACCTATGAAAGAACATTCTAGGAAAAAGGTATTCATCATTCCTGTTGTTTTTATTGAAACAATTATATAAGGTTAGAACACAAAATCTTGTACAGCAAACAGTGGCGTTATACGTTTTAACAGTTATTTATACACCAATAATTGTCCATAAGGACATAATACTGTATATTAAGCTACAAAATAAAATATACAACAAAACAGCCTATGTACAGTAGCTGCAGCCTGTTACATTTAGCAATTTTAAATGATTCATGTTTTTAAATATTTGATTACATTAATAAAAAACTAGCTGAATAGTCATTCTCCTTGTCATCTTATGTCTGAAATGAACTAACTTCACGTTGTCTAGTTAATTAGCCTATTGTTTATCATTTTTGTCCTCCCAGGTTATTTCCTGTGACAACAATCTAAATAGATGCTGTGAACTGATTGAACTAACCGCAAAGGTCCAAGGTCAACTGTTTACCATCCTTAACCACACAGCTGCTGAAGGTAAGCTTTATATTGGCAGTATAGTAAAACACAGCAGTATAACATTATCCCTCTCATAATAACAAGCAAGCTATTCTTCACACTCACTGGTTTTACACTGATGACTCAGGTGGACACTATGCTGGAGTGGACACTCTCAAAACTCGCCTGCTGCCGTGGCTTGGAACCTGTTTCTCCATGGCCAGGCCCGTGGTCTCTGATGACACCAGTCTGCAGCTCATCCAGGTGACAAGCTTTTACTTTGCTTATTAAAACAATCTTATATGGAAATCCATCAAAAATAATCCAGTGTAACACACAGTGTCCAACAAATTACAATGAGTTCTCTTCAATATGTACATCTCCAGTTGTGGTAACTGGATATAATTTGTTTTGATCAGGATTCAGTTGAAAAGGACCGAAGGATCAGGGAGCTCTCTGCCTCCCTTGACAGTGACATACAGAGGAAGGACACCGAGCTGTGCTCCACTCGCCTGCAGTTGGACTCCATGAGAGCAGAGTGAGTCCAACAGATAAGACAGCAGAAGCAGAGCAGTCATTCAGTTTCCTTCCTCAACAAGCATGGCTTGGGTTTAAATGCATTTGGATAAAAGTCCATGGAAAATTGGGATGTATATCATCTAATTTTTTATCTCTTCAGATTGGTCGATACTCAGCAGGAACTGGATGTCACAAAGAGAGAGTCAGCAACTACTCTGCTGGCAACTGAAGAAGAAATATTGCAACTGAAAGCAGAGTGGGTGGTTCACAAAAAATAGTGCCATGATCTATTTGCTCTCAAGTGAAATATACATAATGTGCTACTTTTCATGATGTGAAGCGTGTCTGTCTTTCAGTTTGAGATCCGCACATGAGCAAGTGGAGAGTTATCAAAGGAAGATGGCGACCTTCATTGATTATGAGCGGCAGATTCGCCTGCTCAAAGATGAAGTGTCTTACCTGAGCACAGACAAGACCGTGCTGCAGGAGAGGTACACATGCCATCAGTGTATATGCACACAGACACCACTACACAGAACTGACTCGAATGATAACGTTTCTCTTCTGTGTTTCAGGTTGGTGAGGAGTCGTTCTCCGAGCCCCTTGCCGAGGCTCAGTCGCTCTTCCATCCCGATGAGGAGCGAGTCGCCCACCAGAGCGCAGCTCACCAACTCCTCCCGCTACGCACGCCTCATATCACGCTTCAATGACCTGTATGCGGTGGAGCGGCTGGAGGCCCAGGTCATTCTTCAACGCCACATTGATGACGTGGAGATGGTCCAGAAAGTCATCTTCATTGCCGTCGTGGTAGGCCTGAAATTGTTTTAGAGAGACGTGCAGATCAGAAGAGCATGCAGAGAAAAGAGTGCCCTATCTGTTTAAATTGACTTCATATGTGGGTGATTTCATCAGGGTTCATATTATGACTCATTTATATTTAGAGCAATTTACTTTTAAATGTCTTGTTTTTTGTCACCATGTCTCAGGAATCATTTAAGACAGCAAAACTGGCTTACCGTCAGTTCAAGCTGCGAGTGAGAAAGACATTGTCCCCACACTTTGGGTTAGAGTACCTGGAGGATGCAGCAGTGGACTACATCGTCAGAAACCTGGACCTCTATGACATTCAGGCCAGCATCAATGTAGGACTAAACCCTTTATGTCTACTCTCTGCAGCATTTATGGACAAACTAATATGTTACTAAAACGTACGAGGCATCTGACCTTTGTGTTTAATTTCTCCCCAGGATGTGATCAATGCCATGAATGTGAACCCTCGGATCTCTTTTCCGCCAGAGGTGGACTTTTTCCTCATCAGTACCTTGATCAGGGAGATGTGCAGGGTGGCGTTTGCCATGCAGACACTGGACCCCCCGCTTGACTTTTCCTTTGCTAGCGATGGAGAACTTTACAACGACCGCAAGTCAGTCCTTTGTACATTACTGTGTCTAAATTACAGTCTGTCTTTTAACGGAATGCTCTACAAGTGTTCGAGAAACATGTGGTGCTACATGACCTGTAAAACATAGCCAGTATGTTCCTTAGGTTATTTGCAGTCTCTACCAGTAGATGTCGCCCTCACACACATCAATTCTCACAGCTCTCCCTCTTTGTTCCACCTCTTCTCTGACTGACAGGTACCGCCGTAGCTATGACTCTGAGTTAACTGCTCCTCTGGTGATGTACCATGTGTGGCCTTCCCTGTTGGAAGGAGATGCTGTGGTAGTGAAGGGCGAGGCTGTGACAAGAAGGGGTGCTGTGGTACTGACTGTATAAAACTTCAAAAATATAATTAATTTGAGTGTTCTCTGGAGAGTAAGGCCTCCCTGAAAGCTCAACATAATGTTGTGTTTTCTTGTGGTACATCTGTTTTTGCAGTGGAGTAGAAGCAGGAGCACCAGCCCTGTGCGCTCTCGCTCACTCAGCCCAACTCGCAGTCTTGTAAGTCTCTATAATCTTTGACAGTACAACCAAACACACAGAGCCATAAGCACCATTTGGGGTTTTCTTCAAGAAGATTGCATTTTTTGTCTGGTTTAACATTCAGCTTGATTTAAATCTAAAATGTATCATTCTTTCTATTAAACATGCATGCAAACCCATGGATTTAAGGGTATGAACTTCAAACCCCTTTGAATTTGTTTTCTTTAAATGTAACTAAATTGTTGTACGCTTCATTAACAATACTATCTTTTTTTAGGCATTTCTTAAAAAAAGAAGCCTGTCTCCTGGACGTCTCAGAGCGAGTCACCTGTGATCTCCGGCCTCTCTATCAACAGTAACTTACAACTTTACATCATATCATTAAAATAAACGTTAAAGTATTATTATTTGTATATTCCTTTGTGCTTACACCAAATAAAGCAATGAATTCCTTAGAGACTCAACCACCCAAAGGCTTTCTAGAGTTTACAAATCTGGGGCATTTTGATGGGACTTTGAGGTACTTGAGGTCAGTACCTGTAGATTATAGGTAAAGCAAAAGCAGTGTGGCAGATTACTGAGCATTCGTCTTAATTGACTATATTAACTCTAAGATAGATAATACTAACAGTATTTTAGTAATAGTTAGAAACCTTAAAGTGCATTTTTCAGAGGGAAACTAGTCTTGCAGCACTTTCTTAGTCTTACATATGCATTGAGAAAAACATATTCAGCCTCTACTCCTCTCTTTGCTTTTGACCAAAAGTCTAAGCGAAATTCTTTAGGCGTATTGCAGGACATATGGTGCTTATGACCGGTGCTAACTCCTCCAGTACTTGAGTGACAGATTATTGGTTATTGTGATTTTTTGTATCAATTGTTGCAGTGTTTTTTTACTTTTTATTTTCCTCTTTTGGTGCTGTTTTGTATTCTTTGAGATAAATGAATAGTAAAATCATACGTTTATGACAGGAATAGCGTTAGTTATTGTGAACAAGAATGGGACCGGTAGCTAGTCAGTATGAATTCAATATGAGACTTATTTAACATTTACAACTTTTTATCTCTTTAATTGATTAACAAATAAAGTTGATGCAGTTGAATTAATACATGTTGATTTCACTATGATTTGATTTGAGTTGTTTGACGACTATATGTATAGACCGTGTCTTTTGTGATTGATTGCTTTTTTAAAGATGAAATTACAAACCTTTAGTTTTCTGCAAAGGCTGTTTGTTTTTTGTTAATTCTGTCTTTTCTTTGCTATTGATTATTTGTTTCTCTGCAGCCTTAAACTGTTTCTTGTATTTTGGCTCTCAAAGGATTATTCTTCCACAATTTGCTGAATAATTCCCCCAATTTACATTTTCTGACAAAATGAGTAATACTACCCAGTTTTAACATTAGATGGTGCTGCTGCTCCATCATGAATGTGAGCCCACTTTGCTAAATGCACTGCATGGATGCAGGGCAGAGACTCTGCAGCTTAACTTTCTGAATAGTAACTTCATTAAAAAAATATGTGGCCTACCCCAAATGGTATAACTTGACGTCACTATATGTGAAACATAGACTGCTATGAAAAGAAATGTTACAAACCTTAAAGTTTATCCTGATAGGACTTTTTATCATATGCTTTGAGCCATCTTAGGCACTGGCCCTCATTCATGTGTGCCCGTGCACCAGTATGTTGACATTTGAATGAAATTCTTAAAGGAATCCCAGCAGCAACGTCGTAGTGATGCCTTTCAAAATTATTTTAGCAGTTTTAGCCGCCTAATTAGCTCTCTAGGCCTTGCCCGGTGCTGCATCCACATGCCCCACCAGGCAAACAAATTATGCTGCCAGCTCTTCAGATCATTATATGTAAAATAATTTGCTTCGCAGAGCAGAAACTGAGCTCTGAAAGGCCTCTGTGACCTCTGTGTCGTTAAACTGTCTTGACGGGTTCTCACACTGACCAATTCTGTAGTCAGCAGTGGCGAGCCGTCAGGGCCCTCTAGGCCCTCTGTGAGGCCCTAAAATATTCTAAAAAATAATATTTGAAAACATTAAATATAATTTTTTATATTTTGTTGTTGTTACATTTTTCATTAGTTTTACCAAAATAACTTGATTTAATTGTATTTAAAATAATATTTCCAAATAAATAAATCCTTCGAATCAGGAGTTAGAATGTGAAGGGTTAAATGCCGTCTCTGCGAGTTATGTGAAGACCGGATGGCTTATTGGTCCCTCTCTACATTCACAGAGGGCCCGCTATAGTAACTCAATGAGAGAGTAATGTCAAATGACAGTACAATTGACCAATCACATCTTCCCTCTAAATGGGCGGGCATTATTTTCGCGGACTTTATGACAAGTTCCGCCCGCTGTGAGGTCAAGCAAGTGGTGCAGTGACGCGTCCTAAAACCCGGAAGTAAGCTTCGCTCGGATTCCCTCGACAGAAAACAATGGGATTTCTCCATAGGATTTTGGGAAATAGCTCGAAATAAGGTCTGTGGAAAACGAACCTGTTAGATAAATGCATATTTTGTTCAGCCGGATAATATCCACATGTCTACCCTACTTTTATTATTTTTTAATCATAAATCTAATCGATAGATTTATGATGGATAGATTTGTGATCGATAGATTTATAATTAGCATAAGTTCGTTCATGATTGCTCACTTCAGTGATAGTGATGACATCGTTGCGAAATTATTAACCGAGTCATTTTCAAGATTGAGTTACAATGATAAACTGGAGTGGCAAAGGATCAGCTGCATGACCCCGCCATGAAGTGCTTCATCCAAAAGGACAGGAGGATGGACTTTGTGTTTGAGTGATTTGATCATCAAAGGTAGGCCTAAGTCATTTTCAATGTGGGCCGCCGTGCCGATTTAATTCATTTGTAATTGTTACTTGGCTGTGGGTGCCCTGTCATGATAGGTGTTTATATAAATGGTGTTGTTTTGTGTGGTAGAGGGGGTCGCTGTCATTGATGTGTTTTGCACCCCGGACCACTGTTTTGATATTCCGCAGAAGTATACGCTGTGACGTGATCTTCTTTTGTTTCGAGGGAAGGGGGGTCAGAGGGCCTAGGTATAAAAGTCACGGCTCGCCACTGGTAAAAGAGTTATAGTTGTATTTTTATTGCTGCCTAGGATAATTTAGCAAAAAATACGATTTTGTTTTTGAGGATTATTATATATATATATTATTATATTAAGCTCAACAGTACGTCTTTCCTGGTACTGATAAAAGATAACCTTGTGGGGATTTGTGTAAAGAATCGTAACAACAATCATATTATGCTTTTACCCACAGAGGGCACAACTGTGTTGAACTCGAGTGCCAATGCAGTTTAAACCTATTTGCCATTTCTCCAGCTGCAGCAATCCAAAATTAAAGTTCTCACAAAAATATAAAAAAATAAAATCATTTGTTAACCTTTAAATGAGCAATGATGGGACACTTGAAGAAGATATTTGGAAAAGAAGAGTGTATATGCAGAAACGCATGTCATGGAAACTTCCTCCATGCCTCCTCATCGCACACAATGAGCTACTTGTCCGATGTGCAGCGGTTCAGAGGGGTCCTGGCTCCTGGGACAGAGGCCAGGTCCTGCTGCCATGATACAACTGTGATGGAGCCTGGAGACTCTATCTGAACTCAGTGGGAGGGTATTTACTCAGGTGTGTTGTGGTCAACTGTGGTCATGGACAGGGTGACTGCAGACAGTGGTTGATGGAGATGAGAAAGAAGAAAATGGTTGTGCTGTCTCTTCTATGGGCACTAATGCAATGAAACCCCCTTCTTGATGTCACAGCACTCAATACAGACAAAGGATTTCCATTTGACAGAAAGATAGAGGATTTAGCTTCCACAGCCAGATTAAGCTGTATTCTGGTAGCAAAACTGCATTTCAGCAGGAGCTAGACGTGAAATCTTAATTCATGGCCCAAACCTGAGACAGTAGTAGCTGGAGCTCACCCTAAACAGACTGAAGAGCTGAAAAACCCATATGTTTCCAGTTTGGTGTCAGAAGCCTGACTCAGTGCTGCTGGACCGTGTGATATTTCCTCAGGACGTTCTTAATGTGCTCAATGCTGGCAAGAGCTGTGTCTCTGGAGCTTGAGCATGATGAGTACCCACCCTGATCCCACAGCTAGACCAGTGAAATATTAATCGAGCTGTATATCACGGCACATGATGACATGGTTATGTGTGACCAGGCTGCAGCGCATAAATCAAATGCTATATATTAAAAAAGAGAGAAGAGGAAATGAAGAAAATCAAGGTCAGAGCAAACAAAAGTTCATGTGGCAGGTGTTCTCTGAATAAAGAGATTTTTATTTCCAAACAATGTCCAAACATGGATACTTGTTACTAATCACCAGCCTGCGATTGTTGACTTTGACTTTCCTCTAATAGGGTCACAATTCAAAAGAGGAGTCAATGACCACTGCAGATCAACAAGGCCTCTGTTTATCCAAGAGAGGCAGTAGGGTCTGTGGCCCAGAGAGGCCGTTAAACACATCTGGAATGGAGCAGGATGCAGGTCTTGCACAGGAGGACCTTATGATTGATGACAGTCGGGACAACACGGAGGTAGAGAAAGCACATTCATGACTTCAGCTTCATACTGTACTAGTGCAATGTTGTGTGTGACTGATTGTCAGTGCACCATATGAACATAAGAGCCCCACCCTCTGTACTCTGAGCCGTGCTGGAACACCCAAGGGTTATTTCCTTGGCACTAACGAGTGTGTGAGGTCATAGCGAGGACTGGCTGCAGGCATCAGCCCAATGGGTGCTGGGGAGCAAACAGGCGTGACTGCAGATCTTCTCAGTCGCAGTGAGATCAGACATCAAGCGACCACATCTTCTGCCAGAGATACCACGGATAAATACTTCCTTCCTCTCTCTATGACGACGACCATATCAAATAAAGAAAAACGATTTGGATTTTGGACTCTCTTTTTCCCAATGCAGACATTTATCCAGACTGTTTCCTGTTCCTACTCTGTCATCCGTTGCACATCTGGGCTATCACATTGCAACGGTTGATTAGGAATATTTGAAAGCCAAATGATTTGATGAGTTGCCTTCAGAATAGTCAGTTTCAGACTAAGGTTGCCGGATAATGAGTAATGAACTTGGGACTTCTTCACATAAGCAGCCATGGCGGTAGATGTAATGTCTCAATGATGGAGTGCAGAAAACATCCAGCTCTGCTTAAACAGTATTATTCCTCTGATGAGCAGAACAGACCTGGCCTGGTAATCATGTGCCCTGCCTTCTCGTAAGAGGCGCGACACAAAAGCAGAGCCCAGGAAAAGGTGATTTGGGTCGTTATTTTCCACAGATTTTTTTTAACACATCATTAAAGCCTCAAAGGCTGTTATGACCTTTTCTCTTTTTTGTTGAGGAAAGGGGAGATCAGCTAGATGTCAATGGGATTTGAAGGCTCTGCTCTGCTTGGCATAGAGATGACAGGTGGAAAAACCCCCACAGCTGCCGAGTAGAGATGTCAATCTGAGCTTTAATTACATGGTTTGCTTTGTCAGGAGGTGCACTGTGGTGAACTCAACCTGCTTCTTGTCCTAAAAGAGGGAGCTCTTACTGGATGCTAGAAGGCTCCATGTAAAGCACATCTGGATGATGTGATTAATGGGAAAAACAGCCATCCATTTACATTACAGTGTAGCACTGGCAGGGCAAAGTGCCGTGGATGCAGGTGTGAGTCTCGTAGGTTACTGCTCCACTGGGGCTTGTTACATTTAGCTTGGATTTGATACTCTCACGGAAACAGACGATCAAATCTGGCGCCAATCTCATGTGCGACTGGCTTCGACACAGAACACCCCCCACCCTGAACAGGGATGAAGGAAAGGAACATTTTGGGGAGAGAGAAAGAAAAACTAAAGATTTGAGAGCTGACATAACAACGGGCTTACAGAGAACATGTAACTATTAAATATATGGAAACTTTCTTGTGGCTTTGGTTTGACCTTCATGAGTACTGAGTCTCCACAGCTTCACTTACACTGAAGGTTTTCAAAGAATCAACAAATTATAGAGGTTATAGAAAATGCTACAGAACAATGAGACTTTTTGATTTAAGTTTGATTTGCTTTGTTTTATTAATAATGTAAACAGTATTTACATGATCTGACTTTTCAATCTCAGTACTCTGTCTTCTAATTAACAACAGTAATGAAATGTAACC